AAAAAAAAAAAAATGGCGGCAAATAATTTTAACGTGATAGAGACCAATCGACTTTTCACATCTTATCATAAGCTACTCCGAACTATGTCACGAAATATTCTTCGGATTCGATTTTGCTTTTTCGCGGAAGGTTTACAAAGTTTGAGGCTTTGGTCTTTTTGGCTCGTACCGGTTCGAAAAGACGGCGCGTCGCGTAATTTTTCGCGGGATTCTTCAACTTGGTCTCTTTCACTTGGTCTTGGACAGAGGCACGAGTTTATAAAATCGGCAATGTTTAGCGTGTTCGCGTCCACGGCGCCGAAGGAACTGATCGGCCGTGTTCCAAATAGCCGGTCGGTAGGCTTCGCCGAACACTCGTCTCTCTTTTCTTCTTCTTCCACCGCGTCGTTAGTGTCTTTAAAATCATCGTCTTGGTCGTCGTCGTCGTCCACCACCTCGTTTGCAAGAGGGGATGAAGACGATTAAGACAATTTAACTCCGAGTGACTTGCGAAATCTATCATTAAAGTTATTAGGAATAATGTCAATAATGACTTTACAATATCGTAATAGATATACATAAAGATATAAAAATAGATTAATCCATCTCTAGTTCTCTTCAAAAGTTTTAAGACACTATATGAATATAAGTTGTATAACAATCAATGGGAAAAAAATGACATATTTTAATGACAATCGATAATCTGATTGCATTGTTTCCATCAACGGCACATGTTTGTATACATTTACAAATTTGTGAGATAGAAAACTTGTGCATTAAAATATCATTCTTCTTCTCTCTGAGTTTAATTCTTTTACGCCGCTATGGTTCGCAATCATGAATTCCGTATGGAAGAGGGAGAATGAAAGAGGGCGAAAGAGTCATGGAGAAATAAAGAGAAAGAGGGACAGCGAGAAAGAGCAAAGAGGAGAGTGTGCATTGTAGCGTGCGTATGGCAGAAACTCAATTGCGATACGTAACCTTCGATTGGTAAAAATTGGAACGGCGAGCGGCCGGCCGGACCTTGTGCCCCGCATAATTCTTTCGCAACGCGGCTGCTGCACATGCACGTGCGCGTTCAAGAGATCCGTCTAAAATCGAGTCGGTTAGCGGCGATTCTGCGAGAAGAGGGGACACGGTGTGTTTCTGGGCCTTTGCGGCGCCGGAGGATGCACGGTTCACGGTTCACAAAAACGGGATATGGATCGGAGAATATTGATAAATCCTTATTTTTCTGCTTAAAAAATGACACACAATTTATATACGTAAAATATATAATAAAATTTCTATATCTCTATTTCTACGTGTAACTAGAGGCTTTGCTGTGTATGTGTGGCGAGATATAAAATATTTCGTAGCTATATACACAGGCTATTGTGTCAGTAAAACTGCTCCTACACGATCTTTACGCGAAACAAGTTGGCGTGATAAATTGATTGATACTCGCGTTGCGCTCGTTGAATATTCCATCGTGCTTGACGTGTTGCGTCAAAATTGCCATTAATGGAATCTGTATCGAAAATTTGTATACAGCGTCAGAATGTAACGTATTCAGCAGGATGTTGATCCTTTTTTTTGGCAAATGTTGCATCTAAAATCTGAAAAGATTTAAGTCGTAAAGTTGAAAGAGATGTAATCGATGAACCGAAATACCGTTATCATTCGTGGATGTGAAGTGCCTTTCTTTCGTTCGTGACGTGGTGCAATTAAATCAGTCAGACCGAATCGATCCCACGTTGACCGTCTCGCGCTATCAGTATCCCGCCAGTGGGACAGTCAACAATGGGGTCAGCCGAAGGCGAATCCGGACTGCGGGTCAACCAATCGTGTTCGTTCGCGCTCTCCGTGTCCGTGTTTTCGTGACAATGAGTATCAACTGTATACATATACTATACATCCGCGATAGTGTTAAATTTGTACCGGCACTTCCGCAGTGGCGTAGCATCAGCTTTTTTTTTTTTTTTTTATCTAACAAAATCTCATGCTTTATAATGCAAATAGAATTTTTTTCCCAGCATCTTTTTTTTTTTTATTCCGCATATTTTATTTCTGATATAAATAGATTGGCGCGCATACTAATCTTCTTCCAATTTTATTTAGTATGATAGGATTGTGTTTATGCGCAATTAGCAAAATTGCGACTGCGAAGTCAGTTATCAATTACTATCGCAACCACGTAATAAATAACCAGCCAATGGTTTGGAAACTTTCTCTTGTTGCCCGATAATTTATGCGCTCTTCTATGCCATCTTGTGGCATCATTCTATGATCAGATTTATTTTTCGTTGTGCCGTTTTTATGACGTTAGTTAAAGCTATACTATTATAAAGGTTTACTCGGCGGAAACCGCTCGCGACGCATTCGCCGGAAGAACAGAGTATAGGATTGTATCTAGAGTGGGGGATAAATAAAGAGTAGGTGGTAGGTTCTCGGCAAGACGAGAAACAAGACGGAAGTAGGTCAGCGGGACTATCGGTCGCCAAGGGTCCGGGTTCTCGTCTCGTTTGCACTCGTTTGATTTGCCGGAGGTGATGATGCTGGGTAAAACTGGATACAAGTTGTTCCAGAAAAGATGAGAATCGATGGAGGCTTTTTTCAAAAGAAATATTGTAAACCATATAATTCATTAATTACAGATATTACACATATAATTGTATTTCTTTTTTTACGTTAGTTGTATAATATATAATATAATAATGTATATCCGTGAATTGTGCGTAGAGAATTAATGGAAGATTTTGAAAAACAAAATTGTTTTCATATATATCGATTCCTTAGGATATGATGAACAAATCTGATCAAGACAAATACAATGTTATACTTTATTTCGGACGTTTCCGTCGTGGTACATTGTCCCCTACATAAAAAGGGGGGGGGGGGAAATCCAGTCGCAACAGAAACGAAGCCATCTTTTCTATACAAACATCAATTCGCTACTGTACATAATTATTCGCGTACGCGTACATCACAAATCGCGCATTTAAAAGTGATATCGCGTACAAAAATTTTTTATCTGGACACGAGGGATGGACGGGATGGAAGGAAGCAAATGGGGGCAGAGGAAAATGTTTTCGTTTGAATTTCAACTAATTAATTCATATCGTCATCGTATAGACACAATTATAATATATCGCGATGAATGGATCGCGAGGAAATGAGATTTTTCGTATTTTCTCTCGTCCAAAATAATCTCTCTCTAATTTATTCTGTGCGTGCAATCACTCTCTTTTTCTCAGAATATTTACAAATATTTCACTCATATTCGCTTCTTTATTGGCTCGGCGCATCTCTTACTCTTCCACTTTGTATATCGTAATACTTATGTGCTAACGGTTATTTTACACTCAACATCGATAGACACTCACGTAGTGCTAATAAAATTTCTATCAATTTCTCGATCGAACAAAAACGAGCGCATGCTTCTAGGCAAAAATACATAGTAGGGAAAAATAAACATAGATGTTTACACGGTTAAGTCGATGCACCGCTAATTACGCTGGCTTCTTTAGAGATTAATCAGCTTAATAGATTAGAGTACAAAGTCGTTTTACTCAATTCCATTATTATATTTGCTATAGCTCATCGTCAGAGACAGATATCTATGTTTTTTTTCATCTCATTTTTCTCTGTTTATGACATTAGTTTTTAACAAAATTAGCGGTGTATAGAATTATACCTATGTAATTAGCGAAACACGCTCTGTCCTTAATAATTCGTCGATTCTTTGTCACTTGGTCGATAAAAAAATATGTGCACGATACATCTTTATAAGCATTCAATGCATTCTTCTAATGCAAATGGCCCCTTGGTGCACGATACTACTGCTCAATAAGCATGATATATTCGAGAAAATACGTTTGAATATACAGCCAAATATATACATATATCGAATCTGCGACGTGAAGGACGGATTTCACGATAGACATCTGTACAGACATGCAATAAGGTTCTTCGCTTGACAGATCGATATTATGTAGGCGAGCGAAATAAAAAAAAATATGAATTTACATTTGACATGTTGCTGTGCATCTCCAGATTATTTGTGTTAATTCTTCACTCTATCCAAACAGTTAATTGTTTTTAAATATATTATTCTTTGCTTTGTTTTTCTCACTCTCTCTCTCTCTCTCTCTTTTTCTTTTAGAAAGAGAGAGAATCTATACGAATAACTACATATGAGTATATATGCTACATTAATTAATCTTGTTATTCGTTAGATTATATATGAAATGTGCAACGCGATCACGAAACATTTAAGAAGTTCGTCGCGAATAATATTGTGCGGTTTTGGGGTATATGTGATGTATTTTCAGCGCAAATCATTCTACACTATGGTAGTCATTATTTGATCGGTTAATACACGTCGGGCGTTATCGTACTATTGTTTCTCTCAATTGGATATTTATTTTGTTACGTGCCAGGCGATGTGCCTGTTATAATTTTTGAAAATTTTACTAAATTTTATCTTTTATATAATGACGAAAAATTTAATTTCGTCTTTTGATTAAATATTTCTCTTTTCATGAATTCTTCAAAATAAATCCTAGTTTTTGCCTATGCCTGCTGGAATTTTCTTCATATGATTTTGTTGTGTTAAAATTAAACAGATGTTTAGATGACATTTAGAATGTGATTATAACGAAATAAAAAAATATTTATATATGCACTATAGTGTTTAATAAAACAAAAGTTATAGAAAAGATAAGAATCGATGGAGGCAATATAGCCTAGAGCAAATTTATAGTTTGAAAAAAAAATAGTAAATTAAATGGTTTATTTATTTCTTTTTATTATATATGTACATATATATATATATATATTTGATTTAGATAAAGTTTTTTTTTCAAAAGAAATATTGTAAACCATATAATTCATTAATTACAGATATTACACATATAATTGTATTTCTTTTTTTACGTTAGTTGTATAATATATAATATAATAATGTATATCCGTGAATTGTGCGTAGTCTCTCTCTCTCTCTCTCTCTCTCTCTCTTTTTCTTTTAGAAAGAGAGAGAATCTATACGAATAACTACATATGAGTATATATGCTACATTAATTAATCTTGTTATTCGTTAGATTATATATGAAATGTGCAACGCGATCACGAAACATTTAAGAAGTTCGTCGCGAATAATATTGTGCGGTTTTGGGGTATATGTGATGTATTTTCAGCGCAAATCATTCTACACTATGGTAGTCATTATTTGATCGGTTAATACACGTCGGGCGTTATCGTACTATTGTTTCTCTCAATTGGATATTTATTTTGTTACGTGCCAGGCGATGTGCCTGTTATAATTTTTGAAAATTTTACTAAATTTTATCTTTTATATAATGACGAAAAATTTAATTTCGTCTTTTGATTAAATATTTCTCTTTTCATGAATTCTTCAAAATAAATCCTAGTTTTTGCCTATGCCTGCTGGAATTTTCTTCATATGATTTTGTTGTGTTAAAATTAAACAGATGTTTAGATGACATTTAGAATGTGATTATAACGAAATAAAAAAATATTTATATACGCACTATAGTATTTAATAAAACAAAAGTTATAAGCTAAAACAAAAAAATACAAAAATTTTGTTTGTTGTCTCTAAAATAATATAGTAGTATTAATAATACTTTTTGTTCTATTATATACAACAGTCTATAAGCCTCTTCTCGTCTTAACTATACTAATAACTATAAAACTGGTTCTGATATATTATACTCGCCGCTTTAGATTCGAAATATTTCTCAAATAAAATCTTATACTAATTTCCTCTTTTTTTTCTCCGTTTTGTATATAACATTTTTTTTACAATCCTTTCTGTCAACAAAATTTGTCAGTGGTCTCTTTCAGAAAATTGATCTCAGACTTTTCTAAAATATATATCTTTCCCCCCAAGCCATCTTAAGACAATACTACCAGACTTTAGGAACTTTCATATTATTTTATTACGAATATTCTGAAAGAAATACATTGCCCCAGACTGTGCCATGCATCGAGAACGCACTTGAAATGATTTTATTTCTTTTGTTAGAGCCTGGTAACATTGAATCTAATCATAAGCAGAAAGTATCATGTATAATATTATAATAACACGTTGTCATATATTAGAACCTAAAATATATTCTTTTAGAGGCATTTCATCTATAACTTTAATAGTATAAATATAAAACTTTCACTGTGTGTGTGTGACTTCAAAAAGTTAGTTATCCTTATTGATTCAAAGTATCCAAGTATTTCTCTATTGCATTTTCTTTGTGCCAAAGGATCCTCCTATGTTTCGTAACGATAAATCGTACTTGGATACAATGAACTACGATAAGGAACAATGAGATCTCTCAACCAGCTTACTCACGTATACTCTCGACAATATGCATATATCGAATAAAACATTGAGATCGGTACAGAAAATATAACAGTATGTCTCGAGTATTATTCATTCCTTTACAAACTAGCTAACATTCGAAGAATATTACAGATCGTGCTTGAAAGTTGACAAATTCCAAAATCGGAATGTATACACGTTGCCTAAAATAGGATAGACTCCTATTTCATCGATCAGAGAAATGTTTATCACATTCGATTCCTCCAAATTGTCTATGTTGCTATATCTCATGTTACATTTCAATTATTTATATTTTTATCTTCAACGCTCCACTGGTTATTCAATAAAACATAAATTTATTTTTAACAGCAAAAGAGAGAGTATATCAGAAAATAATCGTGTGACGAAAAAAAAATGGGAATATTTTCTTGAAAAAATATTATTTTACTTATAAATAATAAAAACAAGGTCGGCTTTTTAAAAAGCAATTCTTAAAAAACTCAGATCTATCGCGGCTAATATCACTTATTTAAGAGAGGTCAAGCGCGAATAAAACAATTTTTTAAATATACGTTTTTTTTTTTTTCACATAAAATGTGTGACCTAGTTATGCATAGAGTGCATCATAAATTAGAAGAGAAATTCAGAGAAAAAAATCTCTCGGGTCATGGAACGTTATATGATTAAAATACCTTTTTCTATTAAATAATTATTCACATCTATTCACTGAAATATTTCTTTTATTAGTAGTACCGTTGAAGATGTACGACATTAGTCGCTTTGTATGAAATATTTCGTTTGTAATCGTTATCGAGGAACGTTATACACGCGTTTATGCACACGTGTAGAATGTATCGAAATTTAATTAACAATAGTAGGTAATAAATTATTACCTTTCTCTTTCTCTTTCTTCCCACTTATAGATAGCGCTTTATTTGTGCTATAAGTACGCGGTATGCTTGCTACTGTGCTCAAGAGCAGCAAGAACGTCTTGTTTTTGTCTAACATATAGTCGTCCCTTCTTCCATGGATTTTGCAATTGAAGTGGCTTAAAATCGTCCCTTAAGCAACGTTCCCGTGCACCGATTACGGCAACTAAGCAGAAATTTGGTAGTTCGTCAATCGTATAGGTAGGCCCATTTTGTCCTTTTAGAACCACCGCCATGTTCAATTGTTTAACAACAAGTTCCACAACTTCACGTGCCGTAGTCCTTGGTGTTACGTGTAATTTCAAACTGGTGCCAGCTGCTAAACCAGTCTCGTAGGCCGCGTAAACCTGTAATGCAATATTACAAGATGCATCTCTTGTATCTTTTTTTCTAATGGTATATAAGTTGACATGATAGAGAAAAAGATATAATTAACAGATGCAACAATCTCGAATAAAGAGAGATTAGGTATATCTGTAAATGCATTCGTAATTTAGATCATTTAAATAGTAAAATCTCATATAAATGTTATATCAATGTATAAGCTATGAATAATATATTATACATGGCGTGTCTGAAAGATTTCGATACTAAGTGAAAAAAAAATATACAAACGCTATGAAAAAAAAAATATTCAAAATTTATTTAAAAAATTTCTTTTTCATAAAATTGGATACTTTTTTATAATTCATTCAGTTTTCCAATCTTGTAGACACACCTTGTATTTAGACGCACATAAAAAAAATGCTATATATATATATATATATATTCAAGCCGTGACAATAATTATATACAACACGATAGAGAATCATATATATTCTTAATAGACAACTCGCATTTTTATGCAATATTTTTTTACGCGGTGTATACTATTATACTGTTATAGCACACTACATACAGATATAATTTATCTTCAAAGTAGCTATTATAAAAAGAGTATAAAACAATCATAATGAATCCTGCACATGCCGCATTATTTTGGCACACTAAGCGTAATATTTAAGCATAACCGAGCAGAGCAAGCGTTGAAATTTGGCGCCTTACTCAAGATATCCGCTACATCGGTTTGCACTAGAGGACCAAGCGAGCTGTTTTTAATTATAATCGGGTTAGACTTGTGTTCCCTAGGAAGGAGAAATATCATTTATAAATCGCATATCGCACGAGTCTGCAGAGAAATATTAATCTTGCTGAAAATATTAAACATTGCATCTACCGTATGCTAAATACGTTTATACGTGGAATCTCTCATCATTTATATAACATAAAATATCAAGGAATTGGAAAAACTTACTTGAAGAATACCTGGCAGAGGTGCCGGCATCATCGTCGCCTCTTCCTTCTCTTCGTCTAGATTATCTTGCGGAACGGTGGCCATCGCCGCGACGCTCGCAGTCGGTTTGGACGTTTTAACTTTGACCGGATGACTGGTTTTCAAGCATACGCTCGAATTCGTCGTAGAGTTTTCTTCGCTGCTCAACGAATGTAGGCTGTCGGAATTGGTGTTGCTCACAGACACGCTAAGTAGGCTCGTGGTGTTCGTCATCGCCGTGGAGACGCTCAAAAGCGAACCGCCGTAAAGGATGGGCTTAATGCTCATTAGCGGACTAGTGCTGGCCGATGCCGAAGTAGTTATCGTAGCGGAGCGATTTCGCGGGCTATGTTTGTACTTGGCGAGAATTAGGGTGTCTTCGGATTTGGAGGGCGGCAGCCGCGTATTTTGCAGCGGCGCCAGATGATTGGCGCTCGTGGTCAGATTGCTGTTGCTGCTCGGCACGCACAACGATTTCTGCGGCTCCGACGTCGTCGATATATTCGAAGTGTTGCTACCCTTACGTACGTACTGTCCGCTGGGCAGCTGCTGCTCGCTCTTGCTGAATTCCGTTGTAAGAAGATTCGAAGAGGAATTGGACAGATTCGGTCCTGGCCAACTACCTCGGCCAGGGCTTGATTTAACGAGTTTAGGATCTCTAGGCGGTAATTGTAATAAACTCCGTTTTAGACTATTATTGTTGCTACTGCTGTTCTTGTTTCTGTCTAAGCTAAGCAGATGCTTCATAGATATACCGACGGTTTGCGATGCGACCTGCCAAAAAATATTGTAAATTAATATTAAAATTAAATTAAATACAAATTTATGAAATACGTTACGAAGAGTATTGATAATTACGTTTTGTTGAGAGGAGCCGCGATCTCTCGCGAAAGTTATAACGTCAATCAACCACCTAGAACCTTTCCACACAGTGTTCATTTGCGACTGGAGATCTTGCAATCTCGCCAGTTTGTCCTTTGCGACGCTTAACTCTAAGGAACTGAAGGCCTCTCTGTGATTATGCTGGGCCTGTGCCGTGTCTAGTTCCAAGATGCAGCTAAGCCTCGAGTAACGATTGATCACGTCCTTTTGATACGTGTTCAAATGCACCATCTCAAAGACTTGAATAGGCAACGACAGGAGATCACCGCGCTGTAGTAAGATCTCTCGCGTGCCAGGCACACAGCAAGCGGTTTCGGCGGGCGGCACGGTGATAAGAAACGATACGTCATGCGTCAGATCGATCACTTCGGCATCGTAAAGTCGATGCACCAACGAATCTTCCGAACTGATCTCCATGTAATTAAACAATCGTCGTGCGGTCGCGGCAACCAGATCGACAAACAACTTTTGCTGTTCCGTGCCTTGAGCCTCGTTCGTCACGTTCTCTTTCTCTTCGGACTCTTTCACGGAAGAATCGGACATACAGATGCGCGTTACTCTCTTGAGATAGTCCCACTCCTCCCTTAACAGAAAATACAATAGATAATTGTAATACGCGATTGCAATACATTTCGTTTCTCGATGAGAGTATGCTTACGCGGATACGTGTGGATTATCGCGAATCTTGCAGTGCGGCAACACATTCGGAGATTTCGTCGGGACAACGACTTGTATGAGATCCACGCTGCTCTGCATTTTCAGATAACCGAGATATAAACCTTTGGATAATTTGATACTACTGACTTGATGATATGTCATTTGTTCTTGTATACTGGCCATCAAGATATCGGCAACGTTACTGTCTTCGTGCGTTATGACTTTCTTTATAACTTTACTGAGCGGTAACCATCTGCTATTTAATACGGAAACCATTTTTGCTGATTTTATGTAATTCACTGTCGAAAATACCAAAGTGCCTTGAATGTCTCTGATAGGTTTGTGATATAACTGTCCAAGGTCTTGTATGCACAGTGCAGCCTACAACATACATCGAATATTAAAGGATGTTTTCTATATTTTGCGATTGAATATCAATATAGTGAATTTTAATAATATTAATACAATGCACCTGCATCTGAGCAGCAGCTTGAAGCAACCTTATTCTAAAATGGTTCGTCGAACTGCTGTGACTCTTTTCCATATCTTGTCGAAGGGATTTAACGTCGTCCCAGGTACAGGCGACTTTCATTAGCCAATGAAAATCGTTGTAGATACAACTAGGATACGTCTCGTCGACCTCGATTACGGGTAAGAAATCCTCGTTGGTAACGAGGACTTTGTCTTCGTGGTAGAGTAGACACGCGAGAAATACTCCTCGCCTGAGATTTTTCTGGAATTTACTTGTCGCTGTGAAGAGTTGTTTTATCGTCGTTTTCTTTTTATGATTTCGCCTCTGTACCGCCGGTGTTTCTTGCGTATATTCCGGTCTTCTTATATCAGTGAACAATGTATTTAATTGTTCTAATCGTCCCGCAAACCTCGGTACTCTGCCGTCTATATCCCTCCAACCTTTAAGAATCGTTATAAGTATTTGTAAAATTAAAAGTATTAATAATAAATTGATTTATTACATTTATATATAAAGTCATGTATCGCTGCGACAAAATATTATACTTACTGCTAGGTGTAACATGCGCAGGTGTCGAATTCCTAAATCTGCTGTAGCCCTTTAAATTTCCAGCGGCAGCGCGAAAATAATATTTTTGACCTTGAGTTAGATCCTCGATACGACATTCTCTTTGCTTCATATCTAAAACCTCTCTCTCGTCGCAAATAACGGAAAAGTCATCGTGCAAACTCCATTGAACCTTAAATTTGGTACAGATCGGAGAATCGTGCGAGTCTGGTTCTTGAAATTTGATTGTTACCGAAGTCGTTCCGGTAACATCGATGGCAACCAGAAATGGCATGTCGGGTGGTCCTAAAACATCCAAAATCACACATTCGTATTATATATAGCTGGGACAAAAATATTTCTTACCGGCAATATTTTTTGCAAATTTAAATTAAATCAAATTTTATTTTAAATTAAATTAAATTAAATTTTATCAAACTCACGCGCTTGATCGAAACCCAATAACATTTTTCTGAGAGCCCTGGCTCTCCTTTCCCATAGGGCAAGCTGTTTGTCTTCCGTACTACCACTGCATCCCGTGAGGTTGTTATGTTGCGTGGAAAAACTGGCCCTATGTATGCTGGGTGGTTCCAGTAGAGTCGCACTGCTGCCGGAAGTACTGCCCCCGAGTTCTTGAACTCTGTGTTCCGCTTCCGAGAGTAATGACGCCAAGTGACTTCCAAGAGATTCCGGAGACTTGACTGCATTAACGAAAACATTGGACGTATGCAAAAAATTGTTACGCATTTATAAATATAAATAGTTTAACAATTCAATTTACGCATATTCTAAAACCAATGAATTATCAATGCGTGTGTGTGTGTGTGTGTTTAAAGTACAAAAGAAGTCTCCCGTCTATCTTTTAATCAAGTATAGATATCTGAGTCGAGTTTGTCACGTTTTTGTGAACAGTAGTTATTATCGCCAACATATATTGTTCCGCGCGTAATTATTACGTTAATTAAAGTATTTGCCCGTTACTACATATCATCGTATCAATCGTATCATCGTACGATTTTGCCGCGATTAATTGGGAGTCTAGTTACGACTGTAATTACTTTTCAGCATAAAATAGACAGTGCAGAAATTAATGAAAAGGAGATGCACAGAAATTGCATTGCTTAAAGTAATACATTTACCAAGTTCATGTATCGCGCATATTAAGCGTTGACAGAGTTGAACTTTATCTTCTTCAGATTTGCAAGAATTTGTCGCAAATATCTCTTTAAAATTAATTTAGAAGAAGTATCCTTCTTTCTACTCTATATTTCATTTCTGAAGAGGACTTGGTTTGTTAAAGCGTCATCGCGTTGAAACGTTAACGAGCATAACGGGACAAATTAAGATTCTCGGAACTTTCGTAAAGATCGTGTTGCTGATTTAATAACGTAAGATTTCCTATCTCATTTGAGATAGATACTAATATAATTTAAAAGATACTATATAAAAATTTATTTCTCGCAACTTTTACCCTTTTCCCTTAAAAAGATGAAACCGTAAATGATCGATGCTCGTGACGCAGTTACCCATGATACATTCTCAAATATTTATAATTCTAATGAGGCTGCGAGTTTACTGATTTTTCAGACATATAACACACAAGTCTCATTGTAGCAATTGATATAAAAACTGAATGAAAAACTTTGAGATTTATCGCATGCGGTTTTACTATGAATGCTTTTTTACACGTGGGATGTTCGATGAAAGCGTGTTTTTTATTATATGGAGCATGCAAAAGAGCGTCGAAAAATGTTTAGATTCTACTACAGATTTTACAATTTTACATCGTATACATTCCACCGTAATTACGTTCCGGTTTGATATATCGGATAAAGAGAAACGTTGTTAAAAACGTTACGGAAAAAATGCTGCATCCAGTTTTTTTTTTTTTTTTTTTTACACATCTTGTTCTTTATTTCTATTCATCGCAACGCAATAAAGCTCGACGGCATTTTTATTAGAGACTACGGAATCGTAATTGGAATCTCCCGCGACCCGATGATTTCCTTGGGTTTTTTTTTCGCATGGTAAAGGCAAACCATTTCGCGGGAAAGCGGAAAAACGATTTTTCCCGAAGCTTCGGATCAACGGGATTCGTCACGAACGTCGTTCGTAACAAAGTTCACTCTATGCGGCGTGAAATTTGTAATTGGATTCGATTGTACTTACATTGATTTCCTTCCTGCGCACCGAACGTAACCAGCATTTTTGCCAGCGGCCTATTGTTACTAAGTACAGCGACATCCAGTGGTGACAAGCCGTCGCTATTAACGCTGTAAATGATGAAATTGTAAATAACTTGCTATATATATATATGATAATAGTAAGACTTATCAGATAATAAGACTTATTTAGATCTTTATTTAAAAAAAGGACAAACTGAATTGAAAAGATTTATAGCGCCCGAGATAATTCAAAGTTTTTTGCCACACTTTTTTTTATATTTTATCTTAAGCAAAGCACGTGTTGTTTCATAACTCTACACGTCAACTTTGCATCGCGTTTTATTCACGGAAAACCTAATATTAAAAACAAAATTAAAAATAGCAGTTGTATAATTTCTACTTTATATCACGTTAAGGCGAGATTTCCGTAGAATAAAATAGCTTCATGAAACTTTTGGAAACGTTTACGAGGTGTTAGGAGATCGATAAAGAATAAAACACACATGAGAGCATGAGTTCCCTCTTCTTGAATTATAAATCGGTCTCATGATATCTCGACTTTTTATCCTGTATATTTATTTGACGATTTGGCCCGCTATTACATTCGCTTCATCTAAACGGAAAATATTCGCTTTGCCCAAGCGGAAAATCGAAAGTGGGATTAATAAAATTCACTCTCAAAACATTTGATTACTCTCATCTATCTTATTTCGAATCATTTGGAAGCGTAAAGGAGGACGTCAAATAAATGCGTTAACATAGTATAAAATAGAATAAATATCAATTAAATGAGTTTCCAGTAGTAAAATATTTGTCATTTTCAACGAGAATTTATAGTACGTAGTTGTATTACAGTTACGCGCATATTGAGTAACTTGTATAATTTATTTGCAGTCTATTAATTATTTTAATTTTGTAGGGAATTTTCCTGTTAACTTTTTCTGCCGGATATTTTAAAATGAAGGACAATTGGAGATATGTCATGCGGAAAGAAATCAATTAAAATTTATTCTTGGATTTTTAAATCTCTACTGTAAATTATTGCTAAATATTATGTGTTATACATAATAGAGCCAAAGGCTACGCTAAATATATACAAGCGAAAAATCACCGACGATTGTTCGCCGGAAATAGAAGTAAACGACAATTTTCCGCAATTACTATGCGCGACCATTTATAAAAAACTTTTAAAAGCGTTAAAACGCAACGAGAAACTCGCGTCGCGCTTTTGTTTAAAAAGGTTCTTGCTAATTTGCAACACATTTTCATTCACGAAAAATAGCGCGATGTAATTTAACGCGCTTTAGATTGAAAACGCAGCTTTCAGACACGACAGAAAAATAATTATGCACATTGTGAGAAATAATTAAAATGAAAAGAAATTTTTGTTTTATTTATATCAGAGGATGACATAACAATTTTCTCTTTCTCTTTGAATTTCCTTTGGATTGTAGATTACTAAATATGCGCGCGAAGAAATAACATAAACGCAATAATTATTTTCTTTATATCGTTGTCTACAATCCAAGATGACCTGGATCTATCGAGATCAAGCAAGATTCACGTCGAATCAAATCAAAATATTAGTTCTGTGCTAGTTGAACAATTTCCTAATGGCGCGATTGACCGAATGTAGCGAAGCGCTTCAAAACTTTCAGCTGTATATTCGATTAGAACTCCTCGAAGAAACGTGCACCTCAAGTGAACGGCTTCTAGGTCGCGCGTGTGCTCTCTCGAGAGCAAATAGGATCAGCTAAATTCTTTTTGACAGTCGCAAGATATCTTACGGGTTTTTAACTTTTGCACGAGTATAAAAAATAAATTTTTAATTATTTAAAATAAAAAAATATTTAATTATTTTCACGTGACTTTAATAATTTATGTAGATTATTTTATAAATTATGTAGATTTATCTAAATTATTCAATATAATAATAATAATAAAAAAGAAAATAAATATGTAAATGTCGGATGACATTGTGTCGCTTGCGTAAAAAATGATCAGCTTTTCTTTCATTTTTTTGAAGATAAATTAATCATTATAAATAAAAATCGCTAACCTATTGATATAAATAAACTCACCTATTTACATCCACATCGGTAGATTCCAAAATACTCCTCGCCTTATCCAAATGGCCATGTTCCACAGCCGCAAATAGAGCTAAAAGTAAAGAAACGATAACGATTTTAATTGTACGTAAATTTGCTATGACAAAACAAATTTGGCGAAAATAAAGAGGCATTTGAGAATTAAAAACAAAAAATAAAAATTGATAAAAGAAAAAAACGCAAAATACCATGCAAGTGTATGTTGAGGGATTGGGCCGAGAGAGGATTGATATGTATTGATGACAAATTATTCAATTGTTGGTGGGGCTGTTGTTTCTTCTTGCCGAAGCCCTCCAGGAACTCCATCCCTTGCAACGAATGTAACTCTGTGCGAATGCAAAAATAATATGGATTAAATAAATGATAAATTAATTGAACCAAAAATAACATTGTAAATGCAGATAAATGAAAGAATAAAAATATAAAATGAGGGAATATAAAGGATCCCGAGAAAGATAAAATTTTTACGTATGCTTTGTCAGGTTTATTCTTTATCTTTCACGACTTTCGTCGGAGAAGAATATAAAGCTAACAATAAAAATATATTTAGGTATAATTATCAACATTGGTTATTTATTTGGTACAATTCTTCAATAGATATAGAATAGAAGGCTCGTATTAAGTTCTAAAAAAAATGCTAAAATGCAATTTTGAAAAATGAGTGGCTGCGTATTATTTCTGTCTTGAAATATTATGTGCACAAAATATTATCGCGATTGGTTTGTACGTTTTACTCGAGCCACTTTCACAACTAGAAATTTTCCCACATGTCAGTGATGTTCTTAATGCTTCTTTATCATCTGATCTCACGATAAACATACTTTCTTTTTACAACTTTCCAGTTATTAATTTATTTAATGTGAAAATATGCTAGTAAAAGCGCTTCTTTTTTTTCTCACAGTTGATTCCTTAAAGAATGTAGCTAAATCGATAATTCTGTGAGCCGGAAACTCGAGTTAACTTCCTAGGAACTGCTTAATTGCATCTGACGTGCCATTATCAATTAAAAGATTTATTGATCCTGCATACTTGATCCCGATGATGTCGACACGAGAGCTCGTTCCAGACCGATCCGCTCGTAATCCTTCGTTTCTTTTGCATCCCTTTTCCTGGCATCAGTCGCTATTTTACTTCGAAAACTATTACCACGTCTGTTTGTCCAGAAATTAGTAAAGTTATCGACCGTCCTGATTTTGCAAGATTTGGAAGGACAGGTCTTGACATTGTCAAAAAATTTCTGATCCTGTAGGCAGTTTGATGCATTTTTTCTTGCCGTCTCGTGTATTTTACAATAAAATTTAATCTTCGAGCGATCAAATCCGCCGAAGGATTCAGCAGTCTTTCGGTTCCCGTTTATCGCGTTCGTTTGCGAATCTTTGCTTCTTCCTTCGCAAAAACATCTCAAAGGATCGGTCTCGCATCTAGAACGAAATGCGTTCTGTGACTCAAGACACTTTTCATCATAGTATCTATCTCGGTCGTAATTAATTTTTTGGTAGAATGGCTCGTTAATTGGTTTATGGGAATCCACGACGACGGTCAAGACGTCACGCTCGCAGGATATAGAGCGCTCATTTTCGCAGTCCTGCCGTTGCTCTTCCTCCTTTTCCTCCTCTTCGTAAAGAAAACTCGAGACGGAGGAGTCCAAGGAAGTGTCCAATACGAACGTAGGATTCTCGTAGAATACATTTTTACTCGATTGACATATATCTGTCTCATAAGATACGTGTTTGTCGCTACAGTTTTTTCCTCGAGTATCTTCCTGAGAGTTTTCTACGCTGCGTTTTCTGCGAAAAATGCGAATAACCTTCGGTGATTTTACGCCTTCGTTTTTTCTTGAGGGTCTTTCCGCTTCCTTGCGACCCTTACCCATTATCTTGTCGGTCAAGGAGAGTTTGCTCTTCAGATCCTTGATGATTTCTTGCGAACCGGTATCGTTTGACGATATCGAAATTTTTCGAGAATTCGATAATGTCTCGTCACCGGCCTTATCCTTGATACGGGAACTTGCATCCTCTTTCCATCCCGAGATTCTTCAATAATATAGAAGTTGCGTTCTTTCTTGAGATCTTTCGAGATGGGTTTCGACAGGTCAAAGCCGGCGGTCAATCGCAAGTTGGCGTGATTGCGTATCTTCGACATTAGTTTCACGGATGCCCGAAAGGATCTCGACCTCTTCAAGGTCGATATCCTATCGTTTGAGGAACGTCTCGAGAGTAATTCCATCTTCGGGCTGGATAAAGAGGATTTGCGAAATTTCATTTGGAGATCGGTCGTGATGATTTCGCTCGATATATCTTAATATTCCGTCGAAATATATGAGTTTTTCGAGAATATCAATATTCTCGACTATTTTTCGATACGACAAGATTGGTCTCTTTTGGCGTATTGCTTGTTTCATAAATTATCGATAGCAATGTATTATTATTGTCGACGATAAGGCACGTCGCACTGCCTCTCTTTGGTAAAGCTTTGAAGTTTGCGATTCTTCGTAGATCCTTAAAGCAAGTCTTTGGTTGGGTAAAGCTGGAAAAGATCAATACGGTCATTCGCTCGTTCTTGGTACTCTAACGTAATATATCTTTCTCTCTCTCTCTCTCTCGGACGGCATGACGAGAATCATGTATGTACTTTAAAAGCAGTTTAAATTTTTTTTAAATGCTAATTTTCTTAATGCGGTTTAGGAATTTAGTTTACGAATCAATCTATAATTTGTCGAGTTTCCGTTCTGGCTGGCAAATTATCTCATCGGCTTGTCTATTTCGTAATGACTATTTATTTACATATAAAATATTAGAAAAGTGCAAGAGTGGTTAGCGATGAAAAGATATTAACACGAGCGTTACGATGCAACGACACGACACGTAGATGCGACACGACCGCCGTCTTCGAAACAATTTTATTGTTTACTTAGGACAAGCACTCACTCGGACGATTCCGTTGCGCGACAATTGACCATTATGAAGAAGTGGACCGAACATCGTCTCTTCCTCCTCGGAGCGGCCGACAATTTACCAGCCCAATCAAATTTATTGCTGTCGTCCGTTAGTTGTTAAGATCTTGATGATAGTAAAGTATACTCCAAGATCAATGACAAGATCGCCCGTACAATACTTAACCAGCATCAAATATCAACCATGGGTAAAGCGTTTTATTCTAACGACAAGCACGAGTTCCCGTCAAGTTTTTAATTCTGAAATAACTATATATGAAGAAGGCGAAATATCGTCGTGTTTGGTATCGATATATGTATCGCAAAAAAAAATGCTCGATATCTATATCAAAGATTCAAATAAAGAATCATTATATCGAGAAGTAAGTATATCTCGCCTGAAAACATAATTTAAATATTTTTCCTTTACTCAAAACTTTTAGAAAAACATCGCGCTTTGTGTTATATCGAACTTGGCTTATTTACTACGTATTATTCAGAGTAACGATCGACTAAAATATTCTTTTATGCACCGTACCAGCCTGTTTCTCGCGAAAGCGTGGATGTTCAAACGTGCTCGAACCGATAGGAAGGGGCAAAACTGGTCGCTTGCAATACAGATTGGAGCTCATTAGATCTTAACAAGGGAATTACTGGTCGACGGGATGATAATAGGGTAATTATAGTTTAGAGTTAAATGAATCGTTAGAGTTTTGATCTGATGTGGGAGCGTTTTTTGATTCTCCAATAACTAATTTAAAATTCGAATCGAGCACATACAAGAGCAACTTGAAAAAAAAAAATATAAGATTAAAAAAGCAAGACGAATTTTCGTAACGAAAGAGGATATTTCCTCTTTTATCGCATTAAAAACGGTTTCACTCATCTCCTCTAGTACTTTTGCATAAATCGCACTATTTTTATCACAATGAATTGATCTCTTCATTGAAGACGTCAATCCAGGATTTCCTCTAAGAACGAAACAATTCGTGACTAACTACTAATGCATTTTCCTACGTTACAAAGAACTGTTTACTCCTTTAGAGTTTTGTCCTCCTTATCGGCCCCCGTTCTGATAAACGACGATGAGGATCAAAAAGAATTTTTCTAATACAGAAAGTGGTAAAAAAAAAAAAAATTTTTAGAAAAAGATACATTAGCAATTATTTTACTTTGTATAGCGAGTATGCAAGAAAGAGCCCTTATAAACGTCGTAGAGAAACCCTAGAGACTATTTTAATTCACGTTGCCATCTCGGGTGCGCGCAAACTTTAAGCAACAATTGCTCGTTGTGAGCTCTCTAAAATTCGCGCAAACGTATCGGCAAACGTATCGTTTGTGATTATGCAATGCTCTCGTGCAATTGCCGCGTGAGGCCAGCCTCGCAAGGACACGCGTATATATGACCGTTCACCGTTCGAATACCATTGACGGCAAGCCGACCGAGATTGAAGTTCCGCCAGAATCTCTCTCGTCATGCCTTTCGAGAAGAAAAATTGTCGCGCATCGACTACCTGATTATCACAGAGCAAATTTCATTCAGCTGGACCAATGTTTCTAAGCACGACGTCGTGAATCACGTTTCCACATTTGGACGCAAAGATAGAGTCGTTTCTTGGACGCCGTTGGTCCTATTAAATTTCCCGACATCTTCATCCAATCATCATTGTGATACTTCGTTGCCGAATAAATATCCATAATTAAAATACGATAGGATCGATATTGCGATGCTTTTCTTCAAGTTCCTTTATTGTTATTGCCATTTATCGATAACTCTTGTGTGATTACTTTAAATTCCTCGCTATTAATCCACGATACTCGACATTTCCTCCATTATCATCGTTATCGTGAAAGGAATATTATTTCAGTATTCCAGTGAGAATTGCTGTTGAATTTTTCTCGTATACACACACGATCAAATCGGAGTTAAACGTCCGACACGTGACGAAACGTCGTGCGCAGGGTCGGGATCGATTTTTGGAGATTTACCAACGGATGGGCAGCTTCGAAACGCGTTGCTCATGTGCGCGCGCACTTTTTTCACCGTTGCTGCTGCACTGCTGTACACGCCGCCTTCGCTGGTATTCAACTCGAGACTGAAGTCGAATGAGGCGTCGAAAAGACGGATTTCCTCAGCGTGACGGCTATCTTACGGATCCTTGCACGGCTCGACGATTCCTCTTTCTTACATGCACTTTTGATGTCAATTTTAATTTGTGAAAATTCTCGAATAATCAAATCATTCGAACAAGTCTCGTGTCTCCTATGAGCTGTGAGCGCCACCGATGTGGCATTACTGGCGGGTACACATACCAACGCGACCCCCCGATCCGTTCCATGGCAAGCAAACAGCTGCCCCCATGTCTGGTCCCCTCCATCAACCGGTCGCCACGT